CGAATCAACCTGCCAAAAATGGCGGGTTGTGTTATACATCTCAACCCACCAACCCTCCTCAACTTGCCCCACTTAGTTGTGGGTCAAAACGGGTTGGTGGGTTGGCCCGCGAGTTTTTTATTTTACTATTAGGTAGTATTTTATTTGTTACTAAGCTTTTGTGACATAATATGTTTTTTTTATCTTAGTACTCCCCTAAAAAAATAAAGAAGAAAAACTTTATTTATGACAAAGGTTATCTATATATGGAGACAAAAATATTTGACTGAATATTAGCTTATATTTAGGCTTTAGATTGAAAAAAATTAAGGGAAGTGTGAAATGAAAATAAGTAATATTATAAAATTAACAAAATATAATTTATTTTTATTTTTTAGGTGAGTTGATATTTCTAACCCACCATCAAATGGCGGGTCAACCCGCCCAGCCTCATTTTTACGGGTTGAGTGCAGGTCGGCCCGTTTTGTCACCACTATGTATCACGAAGTTTATTTTTTAATTTGTTGTAAACTACATGTTAGTCTCTTAATCCTAATTATTTTATGAAACATTCTGATATTGCTTTTCTTTTCGGTTGGCTGAACTTTCTTTCAAGGGCTGATTCTTTATCTTCCGCATAGCGGGAAGTGATTAAGAAACAGAGACAAATGCCCTGAAATTTTTTTCAATGGATTTATTATTGCACATTTTTGAAGTCACTAATATAACATTTTTAGAGTCTATTATATATACCATTCAATATTAAGTTACAAATGCCTTATCTATTTTATCTTTTAATTATTTTTTAATAATTATGTCCTAGAAAATTATATTTATAAAATTTTATTTAAAGTTTGCTTTAATTTTTACAAAACAAACAAACTGAATTTTTTTTTCTCCATGCGTTACGGGTAATAAACTTGTATACTGTATAAGCCTTATTCAATCTTCTCTAATTGACCATAATTTTGCTTCTGCAATTATTATTATTTTTATCCCGGTAACTATTATTTTTGGATGATATTGCAATGTTAAACGTACGATACTATATATTAGGAATAGGATTCAAATTATTATTAATTTGGTCTAATTTATTATTGACCATCTATGAATACTGCCTCACATTTTTTAAAAATTATTTATTTATTCAAATATAACGGATGAAAATTTATTCTCCATATATCCCACTTAAAATCTCACATACCTTACTAGTGAGATTTACTAGGTTTTTGCCGCTTGTCAAAATATTGTATTTCATCTTAAATTCTATTCCTTCCTCATTTTTTTATCTCCTTTCACATAAATATCATTAAATTGATGTTAATATTTTGTTATATAAATTAAAAATTAATATTAATTTAATTTAATTAAATAATAGTTAATAATAAGTGATTCTTATTTATGTGGAAATATTTTCAAAATCCATGTAATTTCAACACCGCATTTATGTTTAGTAATAATAATTTGTCAATTGAATTTTTTTATTTCTTTATTTGCTAAAAAAATCTCTAGAAGGGATTGAATTTATTTATGAAACTAAAAAAATTAAATTATAATATAACAATTTGAGGTTTTTGAATTTTAAATTTTTTTAAAAAATTGTATCAGACAAATCAAAATTATATATGATATTAAATGTTATTTGATACAATAAATTTTTATCAATTTTCAATTCCACATCAATTTGATTAAATTATTAAAATAATTATTTACATACTATTATTCTTTTATTGTTAAAATATTATCAAAATTAATTATGAAGTTAATAAAAAATTTAATGTTTTTGAATTTGTAAAAAATTTCAAAAATCTCCATCTTAATGAAAATTATTTTTTATAATTTTCTTATTTAATGCAAAATAATAATTCTAATTTAATGTTAATTTCTCAAAAAACAAATCTAGAATAGTTAATGAAGTTGTACAATACGGCACATAAGTAGCACATCTTTATATTATTCAAAGGTTGAAAAGGAAAGAAATTAATTAAATATTTCACTGCTATTTTCTCTGCACAAAGTTGCACAACTTTATATTATTCAAAGGTTGAAAAGGAAAACAATTAATAAAATATTTCACTGCTATTTGCTCTGCACTTCTTGATATATAAATGCAATCCTATGAATATAGAACATTTGATTAATTGGGTGTAATAATAATTTGTCGGTTGAAGTTTTTTTATTTCTTTATTTGCTAAAAAATTCTCTAGAGGGGATTGAATTTATTCATGAAAATAAAAAAAATTATAATATAACAATTTGAGGTTTTTGAATTTTTAAAAATTGTATCAGACAAATCAAAATTATATATGATGTTAAATGTTATTTGATACAATAAAATTTTATCAATTTTCAATTCCACATCAATTTGATTAAATTATTAAAATAATTATTTACATACTATTATTCTTTTATTGTTAAATTATTATAAAAATTAGTTATCAAATTAATAATAAATTTAATATTTTTGAATTTGTAAATTTTTTCAAAAATACCCATCTAAATGAAAATTATTTGTTATGATTTTCTTATTTAATGCAAAATAATAATTCCAATTTAATGTTAATTTGTCAAAAAAAAAAACTTTCTAGAATAGTTAATGAATTTGTACAATACTGCACAAAAGTTGCACAACTTTATATTATTCAAAGGTTGAAAAGGAAAACAATTAATAAAATATTTCACTGCTATTTGCTCTGCACTTCTTGATATATAAATGCAATCCTATGAATATAGAACATTTGATTAATTGGGTGTAATAATAATTTGTCGGTTGAAGTTTTTTTATTTCTTTATTTGCTAAAAAATTCTCTAGAGGGGATTGAATTTATTCATGAAAATAAAAAAAATTATAATATAACAATTTGAGGTTTTTGAATTTTTAAAAATTGTATCAGACAAATCAAAATTATATATGATGTTAAATGTTATTTGATACAATAAAATTTTATCAATTTTCAATTCCACATCAATTTGATTAAATTATTAAAATAATTATTTACATACTATTATTCTTTTATTGTTAAATTATTATAAAAATTAGTTATCAAATTAATAATAAATTTAATATTTTTAAATTTGTAAATTTTTTCAAAAATACCCATCTAAATGAAAATTATTTGTTATGATTTTCTTATTTAATGCAAAATAATAATTCCAATTTAATGTTAATTTGTCAAAAAAAAAAACTTTCTAGAATAGTTAATGAAGTTGTACAATACTGCACAAAAGTTGCACAACTTTATATTATTCGGGATAGGTTATTCTACCTACCATTTTTTCTGCCTACCTTTGCCTACCACTCTAAAACACCGTTAGATCAGAATCTCAAGAAGAAAGAGAAAGATAAAGGTTGAAAAGGAAAAAAATTAATAAAATATTTCACTGCTATTTTCTCTACACTTCTTGATATATAAATGCAATCCTATGAATATAGAAGATTTGATTAATTGGGTGTAATAATAATAATTACAACAAAAAGATATATCATAAGGAATGTAATAACTAAATTAAAATAACAATGACGATCAAAATAAAAGAGAATATTTTAAGTAAACGATTAATATATGTCATACAATCCGGATTGAGATAAAACGATGATATTTACAAGACTTAATTGATTCGGTGTAATAACGATAATTACAACATAAAATGATGATGATTAAAATGAAAAGACATAATTTAAGCAGGTGATTGAGATGTGTTATTTCATTAAAAAATAGCACATGGAGGTATCAAATAAAATATTAATAAAAAATTATATTATAAAGTAGAAATTTTTTTAAATTTAATTTTAAAAATTATTAAAAAAATTGAAGAAGGGGAAAATAAGATATATATTATTTTAAAAATTATATATATATATATATTACTATTATAAGGCAAAGACTAATTTCAGTATTAAACGGACGATATTTTAAGGTGAAAGGTGGACTAAATTAATAATATAAATTAAGAAAATATTAAATTATTTAATGAAATTGGATACTTTTTTATTTCAAGACAATCTCTCGGATCAAATTCTAGAAAGATCAAACCCTTTCTAGTTCTATATAAGCAACTTCTACCCCAATTAATTTCTCACATTGAAATTCAAAAACTCTTTGTTTACTTAAAATGATGATGATTAGAATAAAAGAGCATAATTTAAGTAAACGATTGATATATATCATGCAATGCTATGAATATACAAGAATTGACTAATTGGGTGTAATAATGATAATTACAAAGAAAAGATATAATATAAGGAATGGAATAAATTAAAATAATGATGATTACAATAAAAGTGCATAATTTATCCCAACCAAAACGACCTAATTTTTAGGTGACCGCACTAATGCTTATATGCAGTTACATTACAAATTATTTTGCTTATATATATGGGATAGGATATTGTGACACACAAATAATGTTACGCACAATGTTACGACCACATCTTAACCGTTGATTTCCGCCAATCAACGATTATCAATTATTGCGAATTAATAATTAATTAATGAGTTTGATTTGAAAAATGATAACCGTTAATTGACGGAAATCAACGGTTAAGATGTGGTCATAACATTGTGCGTAACATTATTTGTGTGTCACAATATCCTATCCCTATATATATATATATATATATATATATATATATATATATATATATATATATATATATATATAAGGCAAATATATATAAGGCAAATTCTAATTTCAGTATTAAACAGGATGAAATTAGAAGGTGAAAGGTGGATTAAATTAATAATATAAATGAAGCAAATTAAATAATGAATTATTTAAAGAAATTTGGTACGTTGTGATTTGAAGACAATCTTGTGTATTAAATTAGAGAGATATAACCTTATCCAAAATAAAAGGTCAAACCATCCTCTCAAGTTCTATAAAAGCAACCTTCCACCCCAACTCATTTCTCACATTGCAATTCAAAATCTCTTCTTAGCTTAGTGAAGCACTCTCTCTTTAGCTACTTATCCCCTTAAGCCTAATTTCTTTTTTTTTTCCTCCCTTTCCACAGTGAAATCATGTCAACTCATACCACCAAATTTGCTACCAATGCTACTGCTGGTGAGAGTGGCTGTGCTCGTGCCCGTGCCTTTGTCACTTTTTTGGCAGGGGATGGTGACTACGTGAAGGGTGTTGTTGGTTTGGCTAAAGGACTAAGGAAGGTCAAGTCCATCTATAATCTTGTGGTTGCGGTCTTGCCTGATGTTCCTGAAGAACACCGTAAGATTCTTCACTCCCAAGGTTGCGTCGTGAGGGAGATTACCCCGGTGCACCCTCCCGAGAATCAGACAGTGTTTGCTCATGCCTATTATGTCATTAATTACTCCAAGCTACGTATTTGGGAGGTATATGTTTCTGTTTTTTTTTTATTGTTGCATGTTTTAAACTTTATCTTTTACTTTGAAAGAATAAATTTGTTTGTACTTTAGCAATAAACAAGAATTGTTCTGTTTTATATGTGTGGCATAATCTGATATGGGTTTCTTTATTGTGATTTAAACATTCTTGCAGTTTGTGGAGTACAGCAAGATGATATATCTAGACGCTGACATTCAGGTTTTTGGAAATATTGATCACCTGTTTGATCTGCCTGATAATTATTTTTATGCGGTGATGGATTGTTTTTGCGAGAAGTCTTGGTGCCACACCCCTCAGTATAAGATCGGTTACTGCCAACAATGCCCTGATAAGGTTCAATGGCCCTCTGAATTTGGTCCCAAACCTTCTCTATATTTCAACGCTGGCATGTTCATTTACGAGCCAAATATGAACACGTGCAATGATCTCCTGAGATCACTTCAAGTCACTGAGCCTACTTCCTTTGCTGAGCAGGTTTACCCACTTGAAAGCTCATGCATGTTTTTTTTTATAAAATAAAAATAAATAAATAAATCGAATTATTCAACCACAGAGGGTAACCGTAAATTTGTTTTCATAGGACTTTCTGAATATGTACTTCAGGGACAAATACAAGCCCATACCTAATGTTTACAACCTTGTCTTTGCCATGTTGTGGCGTCATCCTGAGAATGTTGAATTTGAAAAAATTCAAGTGGCTCACTACTGTGCTTTTGTGAGTGTGCTATATATTTCTAATTATTATGCTTCTCAAGAAATTCATTAATTTAATTTACGTTTCATTTTGAGATTTGATGAATTGTTGATAAATATATATATGGTTATTGTTTCATTTAGGGGTCTAAGCCATGGAGGTTCACTGGGAAGGAGGAGAACATGGACAGAGAGGATATCAAGAAATTGGTGGACATGTGGTGGGAGATATATGACGATGAGACACTTGACTATAATAACACTGTCAATGTGGAACGTTTCAAGGGGGCGCTTTTGGAAGCTGGTGGCGTTAAGTTTGTGCCAGCTCCATCCGCTGCCTAATATGCTTGCTTATATTTACTCTAGACGTTATTTGCATTTTCTTTTTTGGGTCTTCTGAATAAACGAGTGTGGCTTTAATTGGGATGTGCTTCCCATATTTTTAGGGGAGTCACATATCATATAGGTTGTTTACTTTGTTTTCCATTATAAGCCATCATGGTCTGTGGATGCCCTTGATTTAATTAAATGAATGTTTTTATTTTCGCGGTAATTTATTTTTCTCCTGTTTCTGTTCTCGCTTTCATATAAAAATAAATAAATAAAAACTTATAATTGCTTAATTGGTATTTAGCTGCTTACACTATTCGGTTCAATGTTCCACGTCTTCAAACTAAACAATATTGCATCAAACGATGTAACTGTGTCATCTATATATGTTTAATGTGCGCCTAGCTTTTGTGCAACCTTCTCTCAAATTCATAATTGCTAATTACAATGAGATGCAAGGGAGCGTGTTTCGTTTTGAATGCCAAGAATTATATGTATTATCATGCGTCCACCAACGTTTATTCATTTACAGGTTGATGTTGAGATTGTATTTCTGCTACATATAAGTTATATTAAAACTTAGAGCTGCAACGATTTTTAACTATATACTCTCGAAATACATAGTTAAAATATTAAATTGTTTTTTCTCTCTTTCACATTAATAATTTTAATATTTTAACTATGGAAGTACATAATTAAAAAATGGTCACAGGATCAAAAACTCATTCCTACAACATAATACTTATATTTCGGCTTTTTGACCACTCTAACCCTTAATTAATAATTAATTACTAAATTGACCTTGCTTATAAACTATTGCAAAAATTTAATCTTTTCAACAAACATAACACTAATTTTCCCGTTTGACCGTTGACCATTAAGATACTCGGATATCTCCCTCTCTACTCGGGTATATTTCGCGAAATAAATCTGTTCTTACACATGTTGAATATTTACCCGGGTAAGTAAGGGGGATAACACTACTAAAAAAATATGAATTAGGGACGGATTTTAGAGACGAAAAGTACTTTGTCCCTAATTGGAACGAATTTAGAGACGAAAAAACAATTCGTCCCTATTTGGAACAGAATTAGCAACGAAATAAAATATGTCTATAGTAGGGACAGATTTTGAGATGGAAAAATATTCCGTCCTTATTTGGGACGGACTTAGGGACGAAATATGTTCAATTTTCTTAATTCCGTCTCTAATAGGGACGAAATATTGTTCGTCCCAACTTGGGATAAAATTAGAATATGATTTATAAAATTCTTCGCTAAATCTGTCTCTAATAGGGATGGAAAGTAATTCGTCTCTATTAGGGACGTAATTTTTCCATCCCTAATAGAGACAGAAAAAATTTGTCCCTAATATAGACAGATTCAGGGACGAAAAATAATCTTTCCCTATTAGGGACAGAAAATAATCTGTCCCTAATTGGGGGACAGATTTACGAACTTAATTTTGTATTTAAATGTTATTATTTATAAAATTATAAAACATGGATTTTTTGTTGAATTATCTAGATTGGTTGTTTATGTTAAAAAAAAGTAACATTACATGATTTATGTGGGAGAAATTGTGATTAAAAGTGTTTTCTAAAAGGCTTTTTTTAAAACTTGAGTCAGCTCTTTTTTGCTCTATATAATAGGTCAAGTCTCCTATTAAAAACAAAAATATTATAAATCAAAATTAAAACTAAACTAAATGACAAATAAAAAAGAATTAGACGAATTCGATCAATATCCAAACCATATTCTGAAACACGAAAAAAGAATCACTGGCTTATCAAATTATTTGTCGAGCTATGAAAAAGATTCAACAAAAGACATAAACAAATTCACTATCTGTTTTACGTCAAGCAATGCGTGGAGTAACTCCCGATATAGCACTAAAAGCAAGACGCGGGGATGGAGCGAAAGAAGTTTTGAGAATTAAAGAAAAGGTCACGATTGTATGCCATTGATAGGCTACCTAATCTATTTACACCCCTACTTGAGGATAATTATAATTTTAAAATAGACAACTTTATCTATCGTTAGTCTAATAATAATCTTAGTTTATCTAGAGGTTCATCGACATTCATCACAAGTTGCAAATATTTATTTGAGTACCTCGACAATTCAATGGCGGACCCAGAAATTTATACATAGGGGGCAAAAATTTATATTATTGTTATGAAAAAATAATGCCAATTGTGGTTAGAATGATCATAATATGGATTTAAAAATGTCTATTAGAAAGAACCTAATAAAACTTATATTTTTTTTGCTTGCAAGACTTTGGATATGATAGGCACATGTACAATGTGCCGGAGGTGAACAAGACTATATACAAAAATTGTAGAGACAAAGATTTCTTTAAGAATGTGATAGGGGTGCAAGAAGAGACGTGTTTAAACTGGTAGAAGCCAAGACTTATTACTTCTCAAGGGGAGGAGGTTTAGGTTTCTCTGGATAGGGGATGATGGTTTTCCTGTAATAATAAGTAAGGTTTCTGGGTGTATAAGATTTTTTTTTCAGACTTTGAGAGGGGGGCGGGGGCCAACCCTAGCCCCCTATGTGGGTCCGCCTCTGTCGACATTGATATTAAGAAATTCATAGTGTAAAGGTTCATCCAGATACCTCTTTCTCCTTTCATTTTCTAGAGCTTCTTTTTCCATCTTCATAAAGGGCATTACTCACTATCATAACTATATCCACTGTTACCTCATGTCATATAACTTTTTTGAGATTGGTTAAGTTTTTAAATATAAAATTAGAATACTTTCTCTTGAGAGTGATTAAAATTCTTAATTTATTTTTCTCTAAAGAGTGACACGTGATAATATTACTTATATTCTTTTAATTTTTTAAAATTAATCATACAGTGAAGGAAGAGTGAGAAATGCAAATCAAGGAACATTCTTCGCCCTTCTTGCTCTCATTATCAATAATCTACTCCGATGTTTAACTTTTCGATCAAACTGTTCTAATAAAATCACTCCCACAACTTGACAAGCACTTTCTCGGCTTTTTGACCCTTATAACCCTTTATTAATAATTAATTATCAAGTTGACCTTCATTATAAATTATTTCAAAAATTTAACCCCCTCAAAAAACATAACACCATTCTGCCCCTGTTTGACTGTTGACCAGCAAGCCTATCCTGGTACACCCCTCCTTACCCGGGTATTCAAGAAATACCCGGGTAGGGAGGGGTGTACCCGAGTATTGTTCTTGGCACCTGGAAAATTGTTTGAATTATTTACCCGGGTAGGTAAGGGTCTACCCGGGTAATTCTCCAACACATTCAAATATGCGCTGTTTATATGGCTATAGGTGCTGTTCCTACTTTCTTCTTCGCAGAGATAAATTCACATGCTTGCTCCACATTTGACTTGACTCAATAGTCATAAAAAGTTCACTGATTTAATTTGGCCAGACTAAGAATAGGGATTTAGATGCAGATTGTTTTCCTTCTAAAAACATAAAGCTTTTGAATTGCCAGTTGAGATGGTGCTACTACTGCATCATTGGTAGTAATATCATGCTAACCTGTAATGTGCTTCTGGTGGAACATTGTCCTATGTGACTGAGTTTCTTTCGGAAGTTACGGTGTCATGTTCATGTCATAGTAAATCATTATCTCGTATCTTTCCTTCTGCTGCTCAGAAGCTTGACCAATCAAAGCTGCAAGAGGAGAAATGTTGGTGTACAGCTGTTTCTGGTCAAAGAAAGTGAAGAGACGACCAAAGTGGATGGAAGACTAAGAAGAGTAGAATGTGCCAAAGTGGGGTGGGCAAAAACAGGGGCCAAGAACAATTTTCCAGCTGTGGGGTGTACTGGAGATTTACCCGGGTACACCCTTACATACCCGGGTAAATAATTCAAACAATTTTTCAGGTACCAAGAACAATACTCGGGTACACCCTTCCCTACCCGGGTATTTTTTGAATACCCGGGTAGGCTTGCTGGTCAACGGTCAAACAGGGGCAGATTGGTGTTATGTTTTTTGAGGGGGTTAAATTTTTGAAATAATTTATAATGAAGGTCAATTTGATAATTAATTATTAATAAAGGGTTATAAGGGTCAAAAATCCGCACTTTCTCTAAGATATGAACTTGTGAAAGAGATAGCTTGAGTGAAAATCTTTATAAGATAAGATAATTATTGTATAAATATTTTAAAAATTGATTTTTTATTTCAGGCAGAATCTTAAGCTAATTTATTTTATTTTATTAGGATAATTTATTTCCTTTTTTGGTTAATATCAATTTAAAATGGATAAAGCATTTATAGTAATACGATTCAAATTATTTTTAAATTATTATTTTTCTCTTTTCAATCCTTTATAATCGAAGTATTATTGCATTTAGGGAGATTTTTATAAGAAATTTTTGGGATTTTTTTATTTTTGTTCCCTCCTTTCTAACTTTTCACAATCAATTACGCTCTTTTCCCCAAAAAATTTAAGCTCCAGTTTCTCTCTTTAGCAAATTCCCAATTCTTTCTCATATTTTCTCTAATCTTATCACAATATCAAACACTATATCAAAATCAAATCTCTCTCTCACTCTCTCTTTTATTTCTCTTTGCATCTCTGCCATCAAATCCCTTTTACCCTCATATTCAAAATCTTTCTATTTTGAGTCAATGATGACTTACGATTAGAACTTTTTCCTTAGTTATTGGGCATAGTGTTTAATGGACCTAAGTTGAATATCCTATTTAGAAAAATATGTATCCAATAAAAGATAAAATTAGAAATAAAATATTTTAAAAACTGACAACTTCATCTCCAATTTAATCAAATAAAATTTAATTTTAAATTATATTTACTATCTCTACTTTAATTGTAGATTGAATTAATTTTTTATATTTAAATTCAAATTCAAATTTTGAATTTTTATATTTGTATTGACAATTTTAGAATAATCAAATATGATAATATAGAGTTGACTTTATCCTTTTTTTTGTAAGAGTTGATTTTATCTTAAAAAAGTAAGTATATATTTACAAAAAAAAAAAAAAAAGTAAGTATAAATTGACAAGTTGATAGTGCCAAATGCCAATCAATACATTAACTAATATATTATTTGATTCATAATTAATAATGTATTATTTAATTCAAAATTGACATTTTATATTTTACTATATTTGACACTAATTATCTTTTATTCTTTTTTATATTTTCTATTTTTTCACACCATTATTTACACATGTTGAATATTTACCCGGGTAAGTAAGGGGGATATACCCAGGTAAGTAAGGGCAAGGTCATCTAAGGTTGTAAGACATGTAGCCATTGAAGATTTGGGGTCACAATTGGGAAAGGAAAGCCTTCTAGAATCCCTCTGAAAGCAATCACTTAGATGCCAAGTTAGTCTAGACCTTTTGTCATCAGCAGCCAATATCTCATAACACCCTGCAAAAAGATGTTGATAAGCGAGTTGCCAAACATGTGTTTGAGCCAACCATTTTCTGTTTTGCATTCTCTACTAACTTCATTCCCCTTTGGTTGTTGAAGCCCTCAATGGAGAATTCAACACTAGAACCTCTAAAAGTACCCTCATTGGCATAAGATCTATCACTAGAAGGGGTCTCTTTAGATGATGAAAACCAACCCCACGATGACTCGCATCTTATTGTGAGAGAGCAAAATAAAAACAAGAAGATGACTCTCATTACCCATTTGAGGATTTTATCAGAGTTTTGTGTTGGAGTTCCACAAGTTTTGATTAAACCTGCATCGAACACACCATAAATTAATCAACTTATGCCACTAGAAACTATTACCTCATTTGCAAGCATGCTAACAATTTAGAAGGTTCGACAGGAGATTATGTTCTGCGCATTCACCTTTCTTTTCAAAAACAAAAGTCCAAACAAGAGTTACTTTACATGTACAAATCTATAAAGTATCAATACTACGATTTCAACAAAACAGAAATATATCTAGAAAATTAAAAGAAAAACAAAGACATGGCATACTATATATCCAAATTATGAAATAAATTTGACCAACAAAGCAAAGGTTGATTTTAGATGAGACAAGAATGAATAAATTCCGATTTTCTTTCGAACCTTTGGTTGGATGTCTCAAACCTAAAGAATCCAGAGGGAGAACAAACAAAAAAAGTCTCTACCCGGGTACTCCTTTGTGGATTTTCCAAATGGGGGCTGCTGGATTTTTTAAAAACCCTATTCGCGACATTTACCTGGGTATCCCCCTCCCTAGCCGAGTAAATAATTCAAGCATTTTTTCAGATTATAAACAATATCCATGTATCCCCTTGACTACCCAGATAAGGTAAAATTTTCAAATTATATCCGGTATCTCCTGTCTACCCGGGTATTTTATATTAAGGCTACAGTGGTCAAAAAGCCCTTATATTTCCCTTAAAAGAATGCAATTACCTTTTATCTCTGATTTATATTGGTTCTCGTCCTTAGGAAATTCTATTAAATGCAACGGATATCTTAGCAGCAAAATAGTAGTGATTGAATATAAACTTTTCAAGCAGTCAACAAAAATATATAAGAGGAAGATTATAGTTACAATCTATTTTCGTTTACAATTTTATTTATTTATTTATTTTGTATGCTCGTTTACAATATTTCACAACTATATCTTAACCATTGATTTCTGTCAATCAATGGTTATTATTTATTGTGAATTAATAATTAAATAATAAATTTGATTTGTAAAAATCTTAATCATTGATTGACAGAAATTAACAGTTAAGATATGATTATAAGAGGTTGTAAACAAAAATAGATTCTAAGTATAACCTTCCCCAATATATAATATCATTTTTTTTTTTTTATAACATAATATCATTTTTCGTCCCATTAAAGTAATGTATCGACTAACAAATATTTGGGTCATCTTTGAATATATTGTATAAACCTTATTCAATCTTCTCTAATTATCTATAATTTTCGTCCCATTTGTGGTGGAAGACATAAAGGATGGTGGAAAAAAATTTCTTTTAAAAATTGAATTTTAATCTTTACGCGCAAGAACCAGGAAGCATCTGAAACTCGAAACGCCTACATTTTTTTATTATATAGTTATTTTGTTTTTAAACGTTGAAACAGATAATGACATTTGTCTTTCATGACCAGAAATTGCTGACGCATTGATGAAATGACTTCTACTCCCTCAAAAAGCAAAACATATATTTAATTAAATTACCGAATAAGTAATTAAAATTTATAATTTTACGAATAAGTAATTTTGTAAATTTTAAATTTTTATTACCCAAAATTATAAAGTGAAAGCGCACATGTTCTGACCATCAATTTTGCTGTCAACTGATATGCGTCTAACATATGGTGATTTCTAAGTAAAAGAAGCAAGGAATTAATCATAAATGTGTGAAAATAAGCTCATAAATGCAAGAAATATTGATTATTCCTTCTCAATCATTCTCTCACTCAATTTATGCATTTTGATAGTAGGAAACACCAACAAAAAGAAGTGAAAGAGAGAAGTTGAAATTGCATAGTCTCGCTCAAAACGTGCGAAAATGGCGCGATCCGCGTGATTTTGGCAAATTACTTTCTGTTTGTCCGCGCGATCCGTGCGGATTTGGCGCTGATCGGGCAGGCGTCATGAATGCAATCCTTGATTTGTGGTGTTTGATGAAAATGGAAATTTAATCAATGAGAGGTTATGACCTGATTGATTGGTGGAATTATGAGAAAAATGGAAATTTAATCAGAATTAATTAGAGGATCATGACCTGATTGATTGGTGGAATTATGAGGAAAATGGAAATTTAATCAGAATTAATGCAAGGATTATGACCTGATTGAGTAGCTGGCTATATAAAGGAAGCAGAAACTCTAAAAGAAAATCATCTTTTGGCAAGGAGAAATTGGAGAGGAAGCTCTCGGTGACTGAATATTCAAGACTTCTTCTTCTTCCGGTTTTACATTTTCATGAACTCTTTCTCATTATTTGTTTTGTCAGATATGAATATGTCTGGCTAGTTTTTTTATATTTTAGAATTCGCGACTCTATTAGGATTGCGAGGGTTAGGGTTCACAATAGGGATATTGGGATTCTAATTCCTGACAAAGGGTAAGATAACTGTTCATGTATGCACTAGGGATAGGCTACATGAACTGCAAATGTGGAAAATTCACTGGGCTTAAGGATTAACTTGAAAAGGGATTTCTAAGGGATTAGGATTCTAATAGGGTTAATAAGGTTAAGATCACTAAGGGATTAGGGCTTAACTCATTAGTTATAGATGGTGAATTACTTGGTCAATTAGGTAATTAAATATAAATACTAATCAATATTACAAGGTGGGGATCGGAAAGGTGTTGGCGTCCTTTACTGCAATAGTTTTTCTTTTAATATTTTTCTCAAATCTCAATCTTTGTTTTTTTTTTAATTTCTTCAAATTTCTCTCTGAATTATTCACGAAATATTGAATAGTTCACAATTGTTACAAATACCATTATTTTCAAACCAACCCTTGTTCATCCAATAAGAAAGGAGTAGTTAAATTTAAATCTGGTGCCTCAATCCTCGTGGGACGATATCTTACTCACTTTTATTACTTGGTACGATCGGTGCACTTGCCGATTTTACGCAACATCAACCATGGAATTTACTGTGTTTAAATTATTATATTCGTTTTTTGTTCCTATCTTAAAAGTTACACGTTTATGTCATACGAACAAACCGTTTTTCTTATTAATTTGTTTACGGGACAAACAAACCGATTTTTTTTTCTCCGTGCATCGCACGGGTAATCAACTAGTATAAATTAAGCAAGGATAGGATATCATTACCATCAAATAATCTTACTAGCATATCTTAATAGTTGATTTTCGTTAATCAATGATTATCATTTATATTGCGAATTAATAATTAATTAAGTAGTTTTATCTGAAAAAATAATAACCGTATATTATTTGATAATATCAAAGGTCAAACCCTCCTTCAAGTTCTATAAAAGCAACCTTCCACCCCAACTAATTTCTCACATTGCAATTCAAAATCTCTTCTTAGCTTATTAGTGAACCACTCTCTTTTTAGCTACTCATTCCCTTAATCCTAATTTCTTTTTCTTCCTCCCTTTCCACAGTGAAATCATGTCAACTCATACCACCAAATTTGCTGCCAATGCTACTGCTGAACAACTCATGCCTGAGAGTGACCGTGCTCGTGCCTTTGTCACTTTCTTGGCAGGGAACGGTGACTATGTCAAGGGTGTTGTGAGTTTGGCTAAAGGACTGAGGAAGGTCAAGACCATGTACCCTCTTGTGGTTGCGGTCTTGCCTGATGTTCCTGAAGAACACCGTAAGCTTCTACACTCCCAAGGTTGCCTTGTGAGGGAGATTGAACCTGTCCTTCCTCCTGAGAATCAGAACAAGTTTGCCCGTGACTATTTTGTCATTAATTACTCCAAGCTACGTATTTGGGAGGTACATGTTTTCTTTACTGTTACATGTGTTATACGTTGTAATATTGGTGTCTTTTACTTTAACATAATTTCTTTTCTTTTTTTGCACTTTAGCAATTGTAAACGAGGGCTTTTTGACCCTTATAATCCTTAATTAAAAATTAATTATCAATTTGACCTTCATTTGAAACTAATTCGAAAATTTAACCCTCTCGAAAAACATAATACCAATCTGTCCCTGTTTGACCGTTGACCACCAAGCCTACCCGGGTACACCCCTCCCTACCCTGTTATTTTTTGAAATTTTTTGCCTACCCGGGTAGGGAGGGGTGTACCCGGGTATAGTTCTTCAATCTGGAAAAATGGTTGAATTATTTACCCGGGTATAAAGGGGTGTACCCGGGTACAGCATTGAAGACGTTCATCCCAACCGTGGCATTTAGAAGTTCCAATCTACTGCTTACTCCAACGTAACTTCACTTTAATTCCAATTCTAAGTTCGAATTTGAACCCAATGCCCATTATATTTTATTTAATTACTACTATCTCTTTTATTTTTGTGCAGTGTATGACCATCGTGATAAGAATTAAATAAGATCTCAGAGAAATAGCTATACTTATTTTTCGCCATCATTTTCTCCTTATTAAATCTTGTATTGTAATATTCTCATAAATAGTACTATTGGAGAGGTTTGGATCATATACAGTGCCATGGCTGTGATCGAGAACCAAGCACCGTCTCCAATTGGATTCGAAGGGTTTGAGAAGCGCATCGAGATTTCATTCTGCGAGCCACCAATTTTAAAGAACCGCCAAGGAGTAAACCTTCGGTCCCTGACTCGGTCTCGGCTAAATTCTATTCTGGAACCCGCGTGTTGCACCATTGTTTCTCACTTCTCCAATGCCGAATTGGACTCTTACGTGCTCTCTGAATCAAGCCTCTTCGTCTTCAACCATTTTTGCATATTGAAGAATTATACCCGGTACACCCCTCCTTACTCGGGTAATTAATTCAACATTCTTCCAGATTGAAGAACTATACCCGGGTACATCCCTCTCTACCCGGGTAGTCAAAAAATTTCAAAAAATACCAGGGTAGAGAGGGGCCTACCCGGGTAGGCTTGGTGGTCAACGGTCAAACAGGGGCAGATTGGAGGCTTGGTGGTCAACGGTCAAACATGAGAATATTGGTGTTATGTTTTTCGAGAGAGTTAAATTTTTGAATTAGTTTCAAATGAAGGTCAAATTGATAATTAATTATTAATTAAGAGTTATAAAGGTCAAAAAGCCGTAAACGAGTATTGTTCTGTTTTAATTATGGTGGCAGATTCTGATATGTTTTTCTTTACTGTGATTAATTTAATCATTGTTGCAGTTCGTGGACTACAGCAAGATGATATATCTAGACGCTGACATTCAGGTTTTTAGAAATATTGATCACCTATTCGATCTGCCTGATAATTATTTTTATGCGGTGTTGGATTGTTTTTGTGATAAGTCTTGGAGTAGCACCCCGCAGTATAAGATTGGGTACTGCCAACAGTGCCCCGATAAGGTTCAATGGCCCTCTGAATTTGGTGCCAAGCCTTCTCTATATTTCAACGCTGGTATGTTTGTTTATGAGCCTAATCTTGACACATACAATGATCTCCTGAAAACACTTCAAGTCACAGAGCCAACTTCCTTTGCTGAGCAGGTTAACTCAATTAATTGAAAGCACATACATGTTATTTATGAAATAAATAAATCGAATTATTCAACCGCAGAGGGTAATAGTAAATTTGTTTTCATGTGTTGTAGGACTTTCTGAATATGTTCTTCAAGGCCAAATACAAGCCCATACCTAATGTGTACAACCTTATGCTGGCCATGTTGTTGCGTCACCCTGAGAATGTTGAATTTGAAAAAATTCAAGTGGTTCACTACTGTATTAATGTGAGTGTGCTATATATTTCTAACTATGCTTCTCTATAAATTTATGAATTTAATTTTTGTTTCATTTTGAGATTTGATGAATTGTTGATAAATATATATATATATGGTTATTGTTTCATTTAGGAGTCTAAGCCATGGAGGTTCACTGGGAAGGAGGAGAACATGGACAGACAAGACATCAAGAAATTGGTAGACATGTGGTGGGAAGTTTATGAAGATCAGTCGTTGGACTATAATATCCCTGTCAATATGGAAAGTTTCACCGGGGCGCTTTTGGAAGCTGGTGACGTTAAGAGTGTGCCAACTCCTGCCTAATATGCTTGCTTATATTTATACAGCAATTAAGATAGACGTTATTTGCATTTTCGTTTTTGGGTCTTCTAAATAAACGAGTGTGGCTTTAATTGGGATGTGCTACCCGTATTTTTAGGGGAGTCACATATCATATAGGTTGTTTGTTTACTTTGTTTTCCATTATAAGCCATCATGGTCTGTGGATGCCCTTGATTTAATTAAATGAATGTTTTTATTTTCGCGGTAATTAATTTTTCTCCTGTTTCTGTTCTCGCTTTCATATAAAAATAAATAAATAAAAACTTATAATTGCTTAATTGGTATTTCTAACATCGTTCCTTAATTGGTATCTAGTTGCTTACACTATTCGGTTCAATGTTCCACGTCTTCAAAATAAACAATATTGCATCAAACGATGTAACTGTGTCATCTATATATGTTTGTCCTGAGATGAGATGCAAGGACGCCTGTTTCGTTGAATTCCGAATCATTATATGAATTATCGTGCGACCCTTTCGTTCATTTACAGGTTGATGTAGAGACTGTATTTCTGCTAAGTCACTACAAAAATTCAGGTGCAAGGTCACATTTGCAAATTATGGATGTCTTTGTGTTAAAATATTTTCTGGAGGTTCCAGACCCCCACAAAAGTTAAATTTCTGGAGGTTTACTAACCTCCACAATATGTTTGATTTTCTGTCACTCAGACCCCCACAATATTTATCACTTCTTGAAGGACATAGACTTTCACAATTTGTTTATTATATTTTAAAAAAATAAAAAATGAGCTTAGGAGAAATGATTTTATTTGAATAATAAAAGACATCCATTTCAAGTATAAATTTATTTGTTGTTTGAAAAAAATTCAAGCCACACTTAAAATTTACTTATCGCAAAATGAATCTCATTAACCATAATTTATTTAAAAAAAATGCCTATGTCAAATGGAATAAACTAAGGCTACTCAAAACCAACTCTTGCACAAAAAATTACAACTTGCCATGCAATTTTCAATTGAAAAAGAGCACCAGTATCTGAACTTTCCTAATACGCCTACAAAGTACGTTGTTGCAAAATTATTTTTGTTTGCAAAATTAGAATGATAGGAACAGCTAGGTTCAAACACCAGTAAGGAAATCATTCACTCAGCTCTTGGACATACCATTTGAGAAGTTCACATTCTGCAATACCTTCACCAGTTTGTGCCAACGATTTTTGAAAATTAACAACTTTTTTATAATATTACTGTAATGGAAAGTTCATACAACAGAACATTAAAATTAAGGAGAAAACAAAATAGAAGGAAGAAGAAAATGTAATCCCAGATTATTCGAGAATTTCCATATGTCTAGACTTTCAAGTTGTTCAATGTTAATGACAAAAATATGCATCAGAACTCTCGAGAATTTTGTTTGGATTAAATTATTGCTTAGGAATGCAAAAAAAATACCAGAGCATAAGAGCTGTAGGAACATTACCCCAATTAAAAATATATATATAATTACAATTCAGCACTGATTCTATCCTTGTGTCATAGCTGTCAATTAACTTGCTATTTGTGATTATATAATGGCAAATGAAATGCACAAGAGAGGGTACATACTGTGATTTGCTTTTTCCTTGTTTAACAAATGCACAATAATTCACATTCCTAAATGAAAAAGAAGAAGATTTTACTGTTTTGCGTGATTCGGCGTGATTCTGCTTAACAAGAGATATTCCTCAAATATAAATATTGACCTCTTACATGTGAACGTAAAGTTGATTTCAAACAATAATAGCAAATGAAGAGGCTCCAAGGAAATGATGCACAATTAATGTGAACATGCATGTAAGCAGAAAACGCGTCGAATTATCTCCAACTGTCCTTATCATATTCCTAATAGAGTACAGTACCATTTCCAACATGGGCGAAGATATCCCATATGCTTGGCATCCTTCCATCTTCACTTGCTGCACCTTCAACCTATAACATTACCCCAATTCAGCCTAACCCCACAAAGATAACGATTCCCTTTTTTTCCACTAATTAATATTAATTTTGGATTTTAAATTAATTTTTTATTAAAAAAAAATTCCAAAAGAAGAAACTTTTTAAACTTTCTCAAGTGTGAACATATTGGTGAAATTGAAGGAGGGAATGACATATCATCAAACTTTCCAATGATGTTTATTCCCTTAGTATATATAATGACGAGTGTGGCTTTAATTGGGATGTGCTTCCCGTATTTTTAGGGGAGTCACATATCATATAGGTTGTTTGTTTACTTTGTTTTCCATTATAAGCCATCATGGTCTGTGGATGCCCTTGATTTAATTAAATGAATGTTTTTATTTTCGCGGTAATTAATTTTTCTCCTGTTTCTGTTCTCGCTTTGATATAAAAATAAATAAATAAAAACTTATAATTGCTTAATTGGTATTTCTAACATCGTTCCTTAATTGGTATTTAGTTGCTTACACTATTCGGTTCAATGTTCCACGTCTTCAAAATCAAACGATGTAACTGTGTCATCTATATATGTTTGACGTGCGCGTAGCTTTCGAGCATTAATCTTCTCTCAATCTCATGATCGTTAATTAACATGAGATGCAAGGACGCCTGTTTCGTTGAATTCCGAATCATTATATGAATTATCGTGCGACCCTTTCGTTCATTTACAGGTTGATGTAGAGACTGTATTTCTGCTACGTCACTACAAAAGTTCAGGTGCAAGGTCACATTTGCAAATTATGGAGGTCTTTGTGTTAAAATATTTTCTTGAGATTCCAGACCTCCACAAATATTGTATTTTCTGGAAGTTCCAGACCCTCACAAAAATTAAGTTTCTGGAAGTTTACTAACCTCCACAATATATTTGACTTTCTGTCACTCGTAGACCCCGACAACATTTATCACTTCTTGAAGGGCATAGACTTTCACAATTTGTTTATTATATTTAAAAAGAATAAAAAATGAGCTTAGGAGAAATGATTTTATTTGAATAATAAAAGACATCCATTTCAAGTATAAATTTATTTGTTGTTTGAAAAAAATTCAAGCCACACTTAAAATTTACTTATCGCAAAATGAATCTCATTAACCATAATTTATTTAAAAAAAATGTCTATGTCAAATGGAATAAACTAAGGCTACTCAAAACCAACTCTTGCACAAAAAATTACAACTTGCCATGCAATTTTCAATTGAAAAAGAGCACCAGTATCTGAACTTTCCTAATACGCCTACAAAGTACGTTGTTGCAAAATTATTTTTGTTTGCAAAATTAGAATGATACGAACAGCTAGGTTCAAACACCAGCTAGGTTCATGCATGCAACCCCCCGCTGGAAGCCTGTCAGGAGCCGCTCCTTGTCCGTGCCTCTTTGCACCGGCGATCACTCCCCGCCCTCGTCAGCGCTCGGGATGTTACATGCCCACCAGCTTCCGCCTGGTTCGTCCTCGAACCCTACCGTACTGGAAGAGAGGCCCTGCTCTAATACCACTTGTAACGCTCGGCCGCTTCAAGAATCAATGACTATCCCCACATACTAACACGAGACTTTTCAGTGTGTTTTTTCCTCACTCGCACACTTCCTGGGAAAACTTCTCAGGAGGTCACCCATCTCAGAATTGCTCCAAGTCAAGCACGCTTAACTGTAGAGTTCTTCCGTTCCGGGCTACCGAAAAGAAGATGCATCTTGTTAGTATAGGTAGTACCAATTAATTCTTATAAGCTCTCCCAAATTGTGCAGTCTCACACCTGCACAATCTTTGGAATCCCTCTCTTTCGGGTGTCGATTTGATTCATTCATGCATGCAACCCCCCGCTGGAAGCCTGTCAGGAGTCGCTCTTTGTCCGTGCCTCTTTGCACCGGCGATTACTCCCCGCCCTCGTCAGCGCTCGGGATGTTACATGCCCACCAGCTTCCCCCTGGTTCGTCCTCGAACCACACCGTACTGGAAAAGAGGCCCTGCTCTGATACCACTTGTAACGCACGGCCGCTTCAAGAATCAATAACTATCTCCACATACTAACACGAGACTTTTCAGTGAGTTTTTTCCTCACTCGCACACTTCTTGGGAAAACTTCCCAGGAGGTCACCCATCCCAGAATTGCTCCAAGTCAAGCACGCTTAAAGTTCTTCTGTTCCGGGCTACCGAAAAGAAGATGCATCTTGTTAGTATAGGTAGTACCAATTAATTCTTATAAGCTCTCCCAAATTGTGCAGTCTCACACCTGCACAATCTTTGGAATCTCTCTCTTTCGGGTGTCGATTCGATTCATTCATGCATGCAACCCCCCGCTGGAAGCCTGTCAGGAGCCGCTCCTTGTCCGTGCCTCTTTGCACTGGCGATCACTCCCCGCCCTCGTCAGCGCTCGGGATGTTACATGCCCACCAGCTTCCGCCTGGTTTGTCCTCGAACCACACCGTACTGGAAGAGAGGCCCTGCTCTGATACCACTTGTAACGCCCGGCCGCTTCAAGAATCAATGACTATCCCTACATACTAACACGAGACTTTTCAGTGTGTTTTTTCCTCATTCGCACACTTCCTCGGAAAACTTCCCAGGAGGTCACCCATCCCGGAATTGCTCCAAGTCAAGCACGCTTAACTATGGAGTTCTTCCGTTCCGGGCTACGAAAAGAAGATGCATCTTGGTAGTATAGATAGTACCAATTAATTCAATATAATACCCCTAACTTAAATAATTTAATTAATTACCTTAAATTAAGTAATTAAGTATGTATTAGTGAGTAAAATTAAGTATAAGGCCTAATTAAGTGAATTGGGGTCACTTTTGAGGTAAAAAGTGTACTCAGTGAAAATTAAGGGGTATAAAGAGGTGCAGGGAAAAGTACCCAAAATATAAAAATAAAAGTGGAAATATTCCTAGAATAATATTCCAGACATTTGGGTAAAGTTTGGTAATTAATGGAGTTGAATAGATAGATGAACCAATACCCGCTTAGAGCCACTTAACATAAGTTAAGTGACTCAAAGCATAAAAGAACCAATTTCCCCCTCTTGTCCGTGGAA